ATATATATTTATATGTATATATAATTTTTATTGAAAGTGTGTATATATATACACACACACACACACATATATAAAAAGAAGGTTGAAGAATACTGAAAGGACACAATGGTGCAGAAGGTATGTAGTTTATTGGTCTCTTGTACTGCCATAGAATAGGTTTGATAATCAGAAGTTAAGTTTTTCTCTATTTGTATTCCAGTAATCTCCCAGCTTGGACATTGCCCTCAGCTAAAGGGCTGAACGTAGGATCTTTCCACACATGCATTCCTAATCTTAACAGGAAGAGACCCGATGGAAAATCTATCCACCTGCCTAATAGAGAAAGCTAGCCCAGAACCTGTCCCTATGAAACACTTGCAAATATCCCAGAGTAGTTGTGTGTGTGTGGGGGGGGGTGTCTCCTCATCCAGCCCTGAATCGAATAATTCAGGCCCGTTAGGCAGTTTTTCCTCTGCAGGGTTGTACAGCAGCAATGTTGGGTGAGTTGTCCCAGATGAAACAAAAACTCTTTGATGACCCTTTGATGGTCTTCAGCTGCTATTGGACTGGGACACATTTTTAAAAAATTAATTTAAAGTAAACATCAAAAGATAGTTTTGAATTACTTCCAGCTTTAATATGCTTTTAGTATCATTTATTTATAAAGTCGGCTGACTCTGGCAACTGAGCAGGTATCTTTAAGGGCAGTGGATTATCATAACTTATAGTAAACAAGTCATCAACACATACTTTTGCTGAAACCCCACCAAATTATGAGCTAAATGAAAAGCCACATGCTCTTGCCCGATTCCCCCTCATTTCACCAGGCTCTACACAGAAAAACTTCCTAGTTATTCAAATGATTTTCTAATGAGAGGGTCTCTCTGGTTCTCCAAAGAAAGATTCTGCATAAAAGGAGAATCCAAAGTGTGAAATGTACCATTGGAGAATTCTTCTCTTGTGAATGAAGGAAAAGGGCATGAGCTGGGGGAGCAATGCCCTGTTTGATGAATAAATCCATTTTCAAGGTAAGTCTTAGCAATTGCTCGGATAAATTTTAGTCTGATTTTCAAGAGCTGGAGTAAAGGCCAAGACAGATCAAAAAGATGGTTAAGTGAAATGAAGTGTATATATCGTATATACCCAAACATGCAGTTGCGGGGGGGGGGGGTGAATGCTAAAAAAATGGGGGGAGGTACATTCCAATCATCCTGCTCTCTATGTTCTTAGACTTCACTTGTTTATCTGAAAGTTTATTTCTGCTTTTTACAAAGTGTCCAAATTATATAGCTTTTCAGAGTACTTGAAGGCAGGGGATGGAGATGGCAAGTCCAACCATCTTGAACAGAAGATAGAAGAAGCAAAAATGGTTCCGTAAACTGCCATCACCAGCTCCACATGGTAATCTCTATTCTGACAGCCATTTTGGAAAAGCCAATATGCCCTGAGGGGAAAGGTAAAGAAGGAGATAAAGCTTACTAGATGAAAGGGAAAACAAAAGAGAAGAGAAATAATAGAAAAGGAAGAGAGAAACAGATCAGTAAAAAAACAGGACAGACCAGGCAAAGAATAGGTGGAGTGATAACTCTGAGAGACAATACGGATACTCCTGTTGATCTGGACAACTCAATAAGCAACCATCACCATATCTTTTTCCTCCTCTATTTCTAAAACTTTTCTTTGTGTCTTATGCCTTTTAGAAAGTAAATGTTAGGGAACGGACTGCTTTATGCTTGACTCTGGGACCCTTCTGTAAAGATAAAGATGAAAAAATACTTTGATAGATAAATAAGATAATTCCAGTTTCTCTCTCCCTCCGTCTCCAAACACCACATGAAAAGGGACCACAGAAATTAGAACTAGTATAATAGTTTGAACTGAAAAAGGTAAAAAATAAGCCTCCGAATTCTAGTAAAAAGATAGAAATCGTAATAAAAAAATTAATACAACACAGTTCAGCAACTTCTTTTACCAGGTATAACCTACATTTTAAAAGTGAAAAAATGATTGATCTTTTATAAGCAAAAAGGAGGTTGAAGATTGATTCACACTAGCTTGAGATTAAAGTGGAGCTGCGCTAAATGTCAGATTGCATACCATTTAGTTTTTAGTGCATTTTTTAAGATATGGGTTTAAATTATTGTTAGCTGCCCTAAGAAACATTGTTTTGAGTGGCAACATCATTCTTTAAATATGTATTTTTTAAAAATCAAGTAAATGAATTAACGTATGTTGCTAAACAGTAAAACTATGCCCTTACCTTGTTCCGTCTCTCTATTTCTTCTCCGTTCTTTCCTTCCGCATGAGTCTTTTGCAGATGTTAGCTAATCTACAGATGACAAGAACTGAGGAAAGCAGAAAAAACAAAACCAAACAGAAAAACCACCTTCCTCTTACAATCAAAATAATGTATTCAAGGAAGGCACTCAATTCGTTTTTTTCCTCCTAACCCCACACAGATACACATCAGTCACACTATTCCCTTTCAGAATGAGCAATTTTACAGAAATTGCAGAAAAAGAATAAGAAAGAAATAAGGAAGGAAGGAAGGAAGGAAGGAAGGAAGGAAGGAAGGAAGGAAGGAAGGAAAAGAAACTACAGTCAGGTGATAAGGGGAAAAGGGAGAAATCAAACTAGAGTTAGTATACACCAACACTCTCTGCTATACCTCTCTGAACTTTTCTATACTTGCAAATCATCCTTGCTTTCTACCATATCCGTACACCATTTCATGCATTTCCTTTTATTCTTGAAAGTTCTCACTGCTCTCTTTTTGAGGATCTAATCAATTTCATCCGACCATGATTTTCTCAGTCTTCTTCCTCTCCCAACGCATTCATTCTTCCTTCATATATTTATTTTGCAAGTTGACCTTCGTTCCTATACTCTATGTGATCAAATAACTCAACGTATTTCTTTCGTACTAGTTGCTCATGTTTGCATTCAGCCCAGATGCATTCAGCACTCATTCATTCTTGACCTTATTTTTCTTTAATCACACACATTTTTAACCTCTTCCCACTCCATTCAACTTAGAGTGAAACTTTGTTTCAGTAGACCTTGGTACAATAATCTTCACAGCTGACCAAATTCTCACTGCAGTTTATGTCATTTGTATGATGATGTAATCATACAAAGGACCTATAATGGTGCAAATAATGACATTTATGAAATTTACATCATTTGTGTACTGATATTATAATGCAAATATCATAAAATTTTACAATACTCTATTCTCTTATTCAACAATAATGACCAGTGGTTAATGTCTTCTCTCTAAGAAAGGTGGTCACAGATGTTGTTAGTCCAGAGAAAGTTTCAGGGTTAAACAACAAAGTCTAATTAAAAGGAATTAACTTAAAATAAGGTATAAAAAGACAAATTCTTTAAATGAAAAGAGATGAGGTTAAAGGCAAAACAAATAAGAAATCTCAGTCTTTTGCAGGATTTTGCAAAATCTCAAGTATTTTGTGTATATTTGTATAATAAAGCCTTTTTTGCAATAAAGTCTCATCTCTGCCGGGCTGCCATTATCCCTTATAAAAAAAGAACTGATGACATCTCCCCTGAGACCACTGCCATCTCCAGTCAATTTCTCATCTTGCTTCTCTCAGAACTTATTAGAACTTGATCTACTAAGTTTCATAATCCTATCAATTTCATGGTATACATTCTATGTTGGAGGTTGAACTTAGTGCCACTGATCTTTCGATAACTCCTGACCTACTGAGTGGAAGGGGAGGTGGGGCAATAGGGTGTAGATAGAGAATTAAGGTTTCCCTCTGTGTCCGCTCTTTGTCTATCATTTTGCTTGCTCTTTGTCTTAGAGACTGGAAGAAAGTCACTTCCTTCTGCCTTTGTTCCCAGGCACACAAGCACAGAACACATGTATTCTTTAACTTTGACATCCTCTGGGCAGGATGTAGCTAGCTAGATGCTGGGCTTTGTCTATCCCTATAATGCATTTCATGTAAATAAAACTCCTTTCTGTTATAGTTATAACATCTGCTTCACTAGTCATTGCTCAGGTCAGATTCCCACTTCCAGGAATGCTCACATGCGTACACAGACTGCTTCAACTGCAAACAGAAAACTTGCTGACTTGGTTTTTCTCCTTGGTAGTTAGTTTGAAAAGTGGTAATTTACAAAATCCTTCTCCCAGTTTTAGGGCATAAAGCTGCCTCTTTTGCCTCATTTCTTCCTAATCGTGTAATTAGGAATAAGAAGGAAGAATGACAATAACCAAATTCCCCTGTTAAGTAACTAATTGCAATGGGTATGGTGAAGGCCACTGATTCATTCTAGGAAAGAAGGACATCAAATCCACTTGGGGCTTCTTGAGGATTTACAGAAAGAGGCAGCGATGTGAATTGTTTTCACCAGCTACAGTATTTCTATTACAGAAGATTTGGCAGGCAGAAAAAGCAAGAGAAGACAAAACACAGAAAAGGCTGTAAATGTAAATTCCTCTAGGACACAGAATGAAAATGCAAGCTTTTTTAGAGAAAGGAGAGACAACCTCAAAATGTCTTCCACTTTTGCCACTGATGACCCTTCCCACTGTGCTTCAAGTGCATGTTTTCTATTTGAAGCTGTACTCTAATTCTGGATTTTCTGCAGTAATGAAAAGATAGGAGAAGGGGTTAAAAAAACATGGGAGATCATAAATGTTATAACTTGCGCTGCTTCCACATGAGACATTGCTCAATTATCATGCTTCATTCATGTAATTTTATACGGTTGTCTAGATAATGCCACCTGTTTGCCACCTTGTTTGGGTTCTTCAACACATCTTTCTGTCTTCTTTCCTTTCCTTCCAAATTCCTTAAACAAGAAAAGATTAATACCACAACATCTTTTGATGTTCCATTCTTCAGGTAGAAGAACATGTGGTCTGAAATCCACAGGAGTATCTTTATACTGTAGTTCTACAAAGTTCACTGCTCCCTATGAATATCTATGTTCTCTTAGCCCTGAGAATCCAATGCGTTCACCTAGATATCAAATAAACAGCAAAGGAGGCTGGGGATTTGACAATAATGACTTTCAGTATTAAAGCAGATGACCCTCATTGGCCATGGAAGCATGGCTAGACTTTCCCATGTATGAAAAATGGCAGATTTTAAGGGTTGTTTTTTTTTCTTAATAAGGAAAATGGTAAGGGATGGAACAACATACATACTGTTAGGGATGGAGACAGACTGTTGCAAGGCAGGCATTCTACTAGTGGACTAAAAAGGAGGCCTGGAATTGCCCTAAGGTTCAAATTACATGTGGAGTTCACTTCTTAATTTGCCCATGAATAAAAGTATCTTCGTTCACAAACTGACAGCCTAGGCCCCAAACCTGAACTGGGAAGTTTATGAACTCTGAACTGTTTGTGAAATGATTTCTTACTGATTTGCATACCAGAGCATTCAGGATCTCTGATATTTTGTGTATGAAGGACAGGAGACTTTCAAAAGACAGGGCTAATATATTAGGGCTACAAAACTCCAGATGACCACTAGCAGTAAAGTGATGCAAAAAACTCATAATGCTTTGCTGGCATCCAGTATCATTCTGATTTTTCCAGCCCTGATAAGATAACCCTACTGAAGATATCCAACCTCAGATGCCGTGTGTTGGCTGGCACGGCTCATAGACCAATCAAATAGTTCAAGATGCCCCTGGAAATAGGTATCTCATAATGATGTTGAATTTCAGTGATTTTTTTCCTCTTTAGAGAAATAAGGAGGGGTTCTGTGGTTTCTCACCCACATTTTGTTGGTGGCTCATCTTTCTATGAGATCCAGCCATAGGTAACACAGAGGAAATCCACCAAGTTCTACACACTGCTGAGATTTCATCTCTCTCTGCCACCCACTCTTTCCTTGCAGCTTGTAACCCTCTCTGGAGTTGGGGGCACAGCTTTGATTTATAGGTGGGGTGACAAATAGACATGTACTGTGGGGAAGACAGTGAATACCACAAGCATCACAGAACCATGTCTGAACTGCTGCTATTCAGGCTGCAGCATATATTTGATGCTTACTCTAGCTCCTAGCTTTAATGTGAGGCAGAGCAAGGCAGACTGAAGCAATAGATTTTTGAGAGCCAATAAGTCTGGAAGAAAATTAGCCTTGGAAGTGAACAGGAATTACATGAGAATATGGCATGCACATACGTCTGTATTTGAAGAATTTATAAACCAGAACTTTATAAACCATTAAAAAGTTTCGTAGGTGATCTAATTTGTCACTCTGATTACCAATTTATTTTATACAACTCTTCCCAACAAAGGAGCCCTGTTGTGTATTTTTTTAAAAAAAATCAAAATTATCTTCAGAAAAACTATTTATTTCTCACATTTCTATCTGCCAGAATCCAAAGACTCCTGGTAGTTTAAAGTAAAAAAAAAAAAAATGAAACAAACACAATTTAAAAGTACTATGCAATATTATAAAAGATAACATCATTTTAACCAACAGATAAAGTAACTTCAACTTTGGAATTTCATAAAAACAATTACTGAGGGGGAAAAAATGGTCCCGCGAGCCCAAATAATAAAATAATTGGAGTTCATTTAAAAAGGAAGCCTGCAAGGCCGCAAATGTCTTGGAGCAAAAGTTACCTGCAAATGCCTGGGTGAACAAGCATATCTTCAACTAATGTTAAAACAAGCTAGAGTGCAGGCAGCGACCATCTTTCTCCAGGACACTTCCAAGATTGGAGTGCCATTAAACTGAGAAGGTCTTCCCACCAAAAATTGATTCTACAGTACCTGATTAAAAAGAGTGTGAATTCAACATTAAACAAGAATATGGCACAATTCAGAGAATTCAATTGCAAACGCAGTAACAGGAAATACTTGGGAATATAACAAGCTTTGAATTGTTACTTGAAAAGAGTATGTGCTAACATCAGACACACTTCACTTGGGGAGGTTTCCAAAGCAGAAGCATCATCCCAGAGAGGGCCCTTGCTTTTCTACATTCCTAGGCATTTTAATATATGAAATGCTGAGAAAGGCTTTCTCTGAATATCTCAAGGCCAGGCCTGGGTGAAATTTGAGGAGGTTCTCCTTGTATTGGCCCTCAAGCCATTTAGGCTGTTAAAGGTAAACACTAGAACTTTGGATTATTACCAAATACACTGATCAGTAGGGAGCCTACATAACTGATATAACATGACGTCATTTATATGGTTCTTCAGATGTTTTGGAGCCTGTGAGCTTCCTTTTTTTTTTTTACTTACAGATCTCAGTGGGCATGGTGAGGTACACTGGGACTGGAGTTCAGCAAAATCCTGAAGGCCACTGTTGGGAG